ATATTGACTTTGAGGAGGCAGGAGTACTTCTCAATAAAACATATAATTAAGACAGATTTTTTAAGATTTTATTTAATGAGTAGCTTACTGACAAAATCCTGAAAGGAGATGGCCAGGCTATTTAACTTGGCTGAATAAATACAATAGCGCATAAATAAGGCAGTGTAGTTGAATTTCCGTATTATTGTTGAGTCGTGGGAGCTTGCAGTAATACCGAACAAGGTCTCCTCTGTGGTAGGAGAGATTTGGTATGCATTCACTTGGTCGAACCAGTTCAAGACCTTTTGGGTAAACAATCTGGTAAACATACATTCGATAAAAGAGTGCTCAATTGAATCCCTATCTCCGCAATATACATATTCATCGTCCGCCTTAATACCAAATTTGAATAGTTCTTTCTTAGTTACTATCGTTCTGTGGACTAGTTTAAATTGAAATTCTTTTAATTTAGTTTATCTACAAATGTTTTCAGTGGTTTAAAGATCTTAGTCCATACGTCTTTCTTTAAAGAGAGTTTTTCGCTCCAGGGTTTAGGGCCCGTTTGATCCTCGATGTAAATCTCGACGTTAAGCAGATTTTAGAAGTCCTTTGACTTAGCTTTGAACAAATCAATTTGGGTCGTTGAGGGAAAAGATATCATTTCGGGTAAAGAATGATTTGTTGATGGTGTCGGAGCCTTTGGCTAGAGACTATAAGCGTTCTTAATAATACCGTAAGAAATTAGATTTAAATGAATATTTATCACGGAACTCGTGGAATGTTAAAACACTGCCACTTTCATTCCATAGATCGTTAATTGATAGAATACCTTTTTTAAACCATTCATTAAGGAAGATGGGTTTCCCGTCAACCAATATATCTTTGTTATTAAACAATATTAACTCCTGCTTTTGATCTTACAAGTAAAGAGTTTTTAACTCGTTGAAGAATTCTAGTATCTTCTTATAGAAGAGCTCGAGATCATTAAAGTAACTCGTGTCGTAATTGCAACCTAGTAGAAAGTTTAACCCTCCCTTACTTCTGAAATAATGTTTTGGAATACTACAGCAATTATTATTGTCCGAAATCCGCAACAGTCTCGGGATCCAGGCGAGTTTTAGGGCTTTTAACATAATATCAAAATCGGTCATGCGCATGCCACCGTTGTCTAAATCTTGGTAAAGGCCTGATCTTTTTGTTTTATCTTTTTCTTTTTTCCAGAGGAATTTAAAAGATTTTGTTCTTAAAATTTCCACAATTCCCTTGGGAACATCCAGATTAGAGGCCGAATAGATAAGTTGCGAGAGGCCCAAGGTTTTAATTAACATGGCTCTTCCAAATATCGTCAAATCCTGTGAACTCCACGTATCCAGCTTAGTTTGCAACTTTTGGATCTTTTTGTCTAAATTGAGCTCGTTATTCTCCTTAATATTGTACGAAAAATATATCCCCAATATCTTAACAGGGCTGTGGAACCATTTTAAATCCAGAGGCTTATTTCTATTACTTTTCATCTCCCCAACCAAAGCGCCTTCGTTTTTTTGAATAGAGTAGTATCATCAGTGAATTGGGACAGCTTGATTTCCTCACCGAAGATTTTGATACCTCTCACTTTGCAATCCTGACGTATCTTTTTTGAGAGTACCTCCGCAGAAAGAATAAACAAATAAGGGGAGAGAGGGAAACCTTGTCGAACTCCTTTTGATGGTTGAAACCAGCTGGTTATAAAACCATTGTTTTGTACTGCATTTTCTGTGTTCTTGTAGAATATCTTAATCCAGTGCTTTATGTCATTACCAAAATTAAAATAGTCTAGCGTCTTCATCATAAAGGGCCATTCAATCGAGTCAAAAGCTTTTCGGAAGTCTAGTGACGTCAGAATGCCAGGCAAGTTTTGTATACTCGTATATTCCATAACGTCACTTATAAGTCGGATATTTTCCCTTATGTGTCTCCCTTTTACAAAGCCAGTTTGGTCAGAGTGGATCAGGTTTGGTAGGGTCGGTTCAATGCGTTTGGCTATTGCTTTTGATGCTACTTTAAGATCAATATTAAGCAGTGTAATTGGTCTCCAGTTTGAAAGATCTAAGAGTGACCCGTCTTCTTTCGGTACCAAAGTAATTATTCCCTTTCGTTGTGAAATGGAGAGTTCACCTTTCTCGTGCACTTCGTTGAAACTCGCTAATAAATCGTTTCCTAAAAGTTCAAAAAATAGGTATAAAATTCAACGGTAAATCCGTCTTCCCCCGGTGCTTTATTATTCTTAAAGGTTTCTAGTATCTTTTTGCATTCTTCGTACGTAAGTGGATCCTCCAAGGCTTCTTGCACGTCCTCTGAAAGCTTAGGGGATTGAACACTGTCAGTAAATGTGTCATACGCAGTTTCAGAGAAGGTTAAATCCGAGGTATATAAGTTTCCATAGTGGTTTTCAATTTTGCTTTAGAATCACTGTCTCGTTGCGCGTAATAGAATCATCTTGTATAATCGACGTTCGCTAATAGTTTTTTTGTTTTAATTACTTTTTTCAAGATTGGAAAAAAAATTTGTTGGACGTTCATCATTTTCTATCCAGCGGCATTTTGCTCTAAACATCGTCTGTTTTCCTTTTTCTTCGTAAATTGATTTAAGTTTTGTTTTCAGTCCGTCATACTCCCATAGTACACCAGCGATATAAAGGGAAGAAAAATTATCGCAGAAAATAGCATCAAGTTGGTCATTCTACATCTTAATTCCTGTGCTCGGTTGCTGATACATTTTACTTTTGGAAAAGGAAATAGTCACTGATTTGATTACCATTTTCATTAACTCGCAAAGGAGCCTTTTATCCGTCACATGGCTCTAGTAACTGCACGCTCGAGCGTATGTATCCTGAACCGTACTCACATACTGCATATCATTCAATAGGGTGTTGTTAAATTTCCAGAGTCCTGGTCCCCGAGGAAGTTTGTTGGGCCAAGAAAGCGAAATATAAATTGCGTCGTGGTCAGGCGCGATTGTATGGTAAATTTCCGAATTTTTTACATCTCCAGAGAGATTTTTTGCAATTCAGAAAAAGTCAATTCAAGATTTAAGTTTGAAAGATTGTGATTTTTACGTGAATTTGCCGAGCTTTGGATGGCGCATTCTTTGAATATCCACTAAGTCAAACATTTCCATCGTGGTCAGAATGAGATTACGGTAACGAGAGGTATGTGAGAAGAATAGCTCGCCATCCCATTCTTTCTCCAAATATTTTCATCAGCTCGTTCTGAATATGTTCCTTATAAAAAATAAATGTTTGCTTTTTGATCTTTTAGGTGTGAAAGATACACCTCCTCTTGATTTGATCTCTGATTCCCCGAACGTTAAGACGTCAAATTTGGACAAATTACCCGTATACATATTACTCGATAGAAAAGAGAAAAGCGAATTAAATTACGAAAAAAAAAA